TTTCCCTACTTCCTATAACATTCATTTCGGGTGGCTTCAGGTAGTTCAGGCCCATGAGGCAGCAAGCCATCTGACCTTCACTTCCTGTTTGGGAGAAAAAGCATAGGTGTGGCATGAAACATTGGAAAAAGCACGGTTTTGGGGGGTGTTTCTTACCCCTCTAAACCTCAGCTTCCTGAGGCATAACAGTCTGGTCTTGTAGGACTGTGGGGAGTGAGGCAGGCTCTGGTCAGGTAATGGTCAGACTGGAGAGCGGAAGGGAGTCATAATACGCCATTGACAAAGGAATGGGATTTGAAACCGACCCGCCCACTCCAACCTGAGAGGAACCTACATTCCTCCTTGCCCTTTATCCCTCCCGCCAAAATGAACATTGTAACCCAAAGGCACACAGAAAGAACAACTGGAGTCAAACCTCAAGGCAGGACAGCTCCTAAGTTTGAAATTTTAAATATCTGGGCCTACTGGAAATTGGAAGCCAATAGGCTTGACTACATCAAAAACTGCTTCCCAAAAAGATAAAGCCAAGAGGGGCCACACTTAGGGGCAAAGGACAATCATACCCCTACCTGAAGGATGTAAGAGTTAACCACTACCAGTCACCATGGGGCCCAAAGGGCCCCCAAACCATGAGCCTAAATGATATAAGAATTCTTGAGGCCATTAACCACTGCTTCTTCATAAAAGCCTTATAGAAACAGTGTGAGGTAGGAAGTGGGAACCCTTAGAACATCATATAGTTAGGGTATAGGCCCAGGATGAAATTGCAAAATGGCTAAGTTTTGAGATGAAGACCTAACAGCTCAGTTTTGCTGAACCATTTGCTCACTGAGATAGCTTGCAGCAGGACTTCACGACTGACATAGAGAAAGATTTTTCTCCTGGTCCCATTCCAGGAGGAAGGTAATGGTCTTTTATGGCCCAAAGCTTTTGCTCAATGAGAGTCTCCTGACCTTTGTACCCACTCTAGAATTAGGAAGAATAACTGAACCCATCTGCATGTGTACCCTACCCCCACCGCAAGGAAAACACATGCGCCACCTGGGACAGAGCACAGACAAAGCCCCTCTGACCCAGACAGAAACCCCTCACTCCAGTTCCTCGTTGGCAACCCACTCGGGACCCACCCTCTGCTTCGGAGCGCTGTTCCACCTTCTCTTTCTTAATAAACTCTGTTTGCTTACCTATGTCCGTCACTCTAATTCTTCCTGAGCTATGGACAAGAACCCGTGTCTCTCTGCGGATACTGGGCCTAATCATCCCTGTGCCTCCATGTTCCCTGTGTCAGGAGGACAAAATAAGATCCTGCATGTGGCTCGGCTGTGGTGGTGCACGGGTAGCACCACCGCTTGGGAGGCTGGAGGCCACACGGGAGGCCTAGCTTCAGTTCCCAGGCCAACCTGAACACACGAACATGGTTGCACATCTCTCTAACCCAAGCTAATAAGGAGGACGGGGCAGGAGGATCATGACACAAGATTCTGTCAAAAATACCTATTTTGGGGCCAGCAGGTGGTATGGCTGTTAAAGTGCTAGATCTCACACGGCTGGTTGCAGTTTGAGTCCAGCACCTGGCAGTTTGGAAAACAAGCTGAGCATGAGTATGTGTGTGCCCAAAATCCCAAGGGAAGAGTGGAGGAGAGGGAATTGTGGCATAGCTATCACCCCTGGGGATTTCTCATTTTCTCTCTTACTGTCACTCTCTAGCCAGTGCACACACCCTATGGCAAAACCCTAAAACAAAACAAAACTGAAAAAAATAGAAAGTTCATCTCTGCTCCTCTCTTTTCCCTCTCTCTCTTCTTTTCTTTCTCTCTCTCTCTTAAAGGAAAAAAAATACCACATATCATTAACCTAGTATTGACCCTGGCTCACAAGAAGGTGATTATTATTATCTTTAATGATTAAGAATACTAAGAATTTATATAAAATGTTAAATATTTTAATTACACAAGGAACTCAGTAGGATTACAAATGGAGAGACACAAAAAGCCAAAATCCAGCTCAAGTACTCAAACCATTAAAAACCAGAAGCCCGGGGCCAGCAGATGGCAAAGCGGTTACATTTCTGGACTCCCACATGGCCGACCATGATTGGAGTCCCAGACTTGATGGCTTGAAACTCACACCGGGTGCATGTGCGTGCATGCCCTAAATCCCTAAAGGACAATGGAGAAGGGATTGTGGTATGGTCATCCCCCTTGGGGGGTGATTTCTTTTCACTTTCCTTCTGATTGTCTCTTTATCTTTCTCTTTGGCCCTAAGGCAAAACCTCTAAAAACAAAACAAAACTAAAACTACAACACCAGAAGATCTATCACGATGATATCCTAATCTGTGCAGTGAAGGCCACTGGGCTGACCAGAGCATGGGACAAAGAGCAGGGGAATGAGAAATCTGCATTTCCTCATTGGAAATAAGGAATAACCAGAAACATTAGGAAAGAACTCAACTTTAATTGACATTTAATATTCATATTAGAAATGCACAGAGGAATCTTCATAACTCCGTACTAGGTCCTGGATCTAGTGGCTTGCACAATACAATAGGCATGTGTGTGTCCAAAATCCTGAGAGGAGAATAGAGGAGAAGGGATTGTGGTGTGGCCATTCTCCCTGGAGAGTGATTTCTCACTTTCTCTCTATGTCTTTGTCCCTCTCTGGTAAGGGCATATACTCTATGGCAAAAATCTAAAATAAAAGAAAGAGAGAGAGAAAGGGAAAGAAAGAAAGGAAAAAAAGAAAGAAAAAGACAAAAATAAAAAAAGAAAATCACATTGGTGATGCATGCATGCCCAACATTCCAATAGGATAAAGAAATAGAGAAGGGATTGTGGTGTGACCATACCCCATTATAGGGTGCTTTCTCCCTCCCTCTCCTTTTTGTCCCTCTCTGGTGCAGGCATGTACCCTATGGCAAAAATCTAAAGAAAAAGAAAAGAGAGAGAGAAAGGGAAAGAAAGAAAGAAATGGAAGGAAAGAAAGAAAGAGAAAGAAAGAAAAAGGAAAAGAATAAGAAAAAAAGAAAAAATCACATTGGTGATGCATGCATGCCCAACGTGTATACACCCTTTGGCAACTAAAAAAAAAAAAACTTTACTAAGATTTTGACTTGAGCAACTAGTGGAACAGAGTTCTGTCTTTTTCTTCTCTTGTAAGATGAGAAATCTATAGATGGCAAAGCTTGGGAGTGGGTAGGTGAGTTAGGAGTTCACTTTGTGTTAATTTTGAAAGCCTGTTAACCCTAAGTGGAGGTGCCAGTAGACAGGTCTGTCAGGGTAGCGTGCTCAGGGAAAAGGTTTAGGTTGGTGATATACGTTTGGGAGTTATCACAGGTAGGTAGTATTTATAGCCAACCATTTGACGGAGACCTTTTAAAGAGAGACAGGGAAATATTTGAGGGCGAATTCTTGGGCACCCCAATGCTTAGCAGTTGGGAACTTGAAAGGGAATCAGCAAAGGAGACTGAGAAGGAGTGCCCAGTGTGGTCAGAGAGATCTAAGAGGGTAGTGTCCCAGGAAACAAATGAAGACAGTGCTTCAGGAGGGGAGATGTGTTAAATTAAGCAGGAGGCCATTGGCTTGAGGTGGTTTCTATACGTTGAGTTCCCAGGCAACAAACCAAAACCTAACTCAGGAGAATAGTTCTGGTGACAAATAGTCATGTTTCTGGAATGTTCATTGGCAAGTCTTGAAGATGCGCCCAAAGGAAAACATGGTCCTGGAAAAGGGGGTAAAGGGGAAGCAGTGTCTGGGAGTGGTTGTGCCAACAAGAAGGCTCGGGGTCCCAAAGGTGGTGGCCATGCAGTAGAGGCCAGACACATTCTACGTGAGAAACATGGCAACGTCATGGAAACCATGGAAAAGTTAAAGTCCA